ATTTCTGGAAATTTTACATCTCTACCCCTTCCTCCTAGCTCCGTCTGCTGGTGGTGGTCGTGCAAGGCCTGATCCATCTGCTGGTGGACCTGGTCAACTCGCTGCCCTTTTACTCGGTCCTGCTGCGTCTCTGCCGATCGTACAGGCTGGCGTGTAAGTTTTCCTTTGTTGCCTCAGCGGAAGCCGGAGGGCGACGCATTTCCCGGGTCAGGGGGGAAATGAGACTTTGGTTCAGAGCTGCAGGCTAAGAAGAGTCGCAAACACTTTCCGTTTAGTTTATTTAGCTGTTGTTGTTTTTTCAAATTTATAATCCGCCCTCCCTGTGAACGGGAGTCAGGGCCAACAGTTAGGCCATTTGGCACACCACAAAACATAATAATAAATAGTCAATTAAAACATTAAAAGAGCCTTTAAAAACTATTTGCACTGATACTGGTGCCGCTGGACTCTGAGCTTGTTCAGTGCGGGCCACGTGGAGATGGTGTCTTCAGGGGGGGCGGGGGGGGTGAGATGTTTTTACTGGACGCCCACCGCCTCAACCAAAGGCCTCCGAGCAGCAGGGTGCAAAAGCGCCGTCTTCTCCAGCAACTCATCGGGGTATAAACGCTTTCAGTCCAGAGGGGCCCCCCCGCCCCGCCCCAAACTGGACAACAAACGCAAGTGTGGAACCATCGAAGAGACAGCAGACGTATCTGAACAAAACATAATTTTAAAAATAAATTGCTTGGGTTATTATCTGGTTGCAGATCGTGCTTTGATTCCTCTCTCCCCCCCCCCCCTTTGCCATTAGCGATGTGTGGGGTTTGGGGGTTGCTGTTTTTTGGGTCAGTCCTTAGAAGAGGACGCCAAATCACCTAGAGATGGGGGAGCTTTTTATTTTTAAAGATCTCTCCTTTTAGTGTCGTCCCCCCCCCCTATTAAAGCTGTGAATCTTATTACGCAGTTCTCCCAAAGAAATGGGTGAAGTCAATGCAATCCAGTGCATCTGAGTCATCATATTATTAGCAGTTTCAGCTGTAAATGCAAGGGCTTCGTTCCACTTTGAAGCTTTAAAATCACTTCTGCTTCCTCGTGCTGCCCGGTGCACAGTCGGTGCCGTTCGCACTCCCATCAAACCTCGCCTCTTCAAAAGAAAACGTTCAGAAGCTCAGAAGGCGATCTGCTCGCCCCGTCCTTTTCCGGTTCTGTTCATCTGGAAACCCCTCACGGGCAAGTTCCCTGACAGGGCCCACTCTTCAGCTGGTGCCAAGGAGAACCAGTCCTTTGACACACTGGCATGGCGTGCTCCTTGGCATCCCTTGAGGTTCCCACTGGAGATGTCTGTTTCAGGGAAAAGGCGTTCTGGGTGCCATCAGTGATGGCACAGCAACAGTAACAAAACTTAATGTTTTCCATGTCCAGATACATCATCACAGGCGGTAGAGAGC